AGTTGACAAGAAAAATCAACCACTATTCAAATATAGAACTTATTCCAACTATAAGAAACATTCTATAGGAAACTATAGGATCACTTTATTGCAGGACAGGGCAGGACACCAAATCTGATGTACACAAATTAAACATCACTAAGTTGGCAGTTAGATATAATTAATTTTCATTATAGAAACAGAACATTTCTGGATTCCTAAAAATCATTTACAAGTAATATGTGTGGAATTATCTATAGTTTCCCCAATTTATTTCTTCCAAAAAGAATAGAGAGTAGCATTTGTTTCTAGGCTAGTAGGTATCCTTCTTGAGAAAGATAATTGCAGTTGAAAGACAGGAAACACTTGGAGCTTTGGCCCTGGGTACATAGACGAAGTAGAATATTTTTGTAATAAGTTCAATACATGGTTTGTTTGTTTTTTTGTTATTTCTATGGCTTCCAATTTGCAAAATCTGACTTAGGGCAATATATCCAAAAATGGCTATTTGTGTTTTACAAATATTAAAACAATACACAACAAACAGCAAAAGACAAAAGAACAACAATTGCAAAGAAAACAAATCTGAAAGGGAGCACAAAGGAAGAAGAAGACATCAACTACTCTTGAATTGAATTATTTAGCTCTTTTAATAAGGAAATAATGAAAAATATTTCATCTTTGCTTACTATTTTATTATCTTACTCTACTGCTGACAATCAATGGCTCTCTGTAATTTAGAAAAAAAATTAATGACAAAATTAAAAAACAATTGAATTAACAATAAAGGTATGTTTTAAAAGAAAGAATAGTGTAACAAATTCCAAAGAATTTGCCTACAAAATTCTACACAGCAGAGTTAAAGCCAAGTGACTGTAAGACAAACAATGTATTAGTAGCCTAGACAAAAGTAAGAACCTATACCATAAATTTAACTAGGTCCTGACTCTACATAAATTATTATAATTATGAAGCAAAATTCATTTTCAATTTGGACATTTGATCCAAGTTGCTTTGACAGTTCAAACTGATAGAACTTCAGGAAGGCTTATAGAGCTGGTTTGAATAATATCTCATAAAGTCCCATATGACTTGGTGCCTAAGTAGTTCTAGAATCACATATTCCAACAGATATCATCCTGACCAATGTGATTATCTGGGGAAAAGTAACTAGAAATAATCTATTTCTAGGAACTGGGGATGAGATTGAAGTTAGGAATTCAAATAGTCTCCTATTGAAAATCAACTTGCCTCTCCTGATATTATTCAGAAAATCACTCAAATATGAATTCTTGTGCAGGATGTTTACAAATTGAAATGACTCCATGTGTGTTGATTTTTTTTGAATGATAGTACTAATCAGGTAGTGATATTTTTCAATTAATTTATNAGTGTCAATTATTTTGCAGTAAATATCTATAAAAGTCAGAGCATTAATGTAAAATAGAAGGTGCCAAATATTTATTTGGTAAATTTAATACATACAACAAAGTTTGACCATAAAAAATTACTTTACCCTGTCTTTTCCTTCTAGCCATTTTTGTCTAATGTTGTCACTAATATTGTGTTATATTGAAATGAACGGTTTCTGCAATAAATTATTTTTAAAATGTGTATATGATTTAAAATTATATAAATATAAATTTTTCAAAAATAGTGAGTAGATATTAGTGTTTGTACTGTTGAGGAACAAAATTCACAATTTCCATTAATTAAAAACAATCTATTCCTTCCAGTATATAAGTATGCTTGATTTATCAAAAATCAAGCAGAAAGCAAAAAAGCAACCAAAAAGACCTTACCTCAACTTTTTACTTTTTCAATATATTGAATTTATCATTATGAAAAATGTGAATCTTGTGTCTCTGCAATACTGAATAACAACACATACAATTTTCAATTTTACAATAGTAAACACTCGGTTTCTGGATATCTGCCTACTTATTGCATGCAAATAAAGGGCATGCAATAAAATGAAGAGTTTGGATCTGAAAATTCTCTGAATCAGATTCAGGAAAAAATACTTTTTGTGAAGCAAGAAGACTGCCTGCTGTAGCACTTGTCTTTAAACTAAAATGAACCATTTATTAACCTGTTTCCTATTATATAACACATTTCTGATATATATGTCTAGGCAGCCCAATCCCAGCTACATTATCCTTGCTTTTAACAGTATGTATCTCCATATGTATATGAACCATATTTTTTACATGTTAGACTTAATATGCCTGCTGGATTGACCCGAATATTTTCAAATTCATTTTTGCCCACTTTTTCTCATTTAATAATTCTCTTCATTTATTCTATTATAAATTAGTACAAGTATATCTTGGAGTTTTTATACTGTAGTGGTGTAGAAGTGATGGAGGACTAAACAGACTCCATGGATTATTATTTTCTCCACAACTATTGCTTAGTCTTTTACATACAATAAATAGCAATGTTGAATGGTTCTTTTATCTAATATAGCTATACACTAATTAGGGTTAACTAAAATTTCAATTAAGTTTATTATCATATCAGAACTATATAAATTTTAAGCAAGACAATAAAGTCAGATTATTTGTATTTAAAATATTTGGGCACCCATGTTAAAACTCTTCAGGCTCAGGAGTTACAAACCTTAGTAATGGTACAAGTAGTAGTATTAAACTGAGTAACCACAGTTATTATTGAGTCCTTTTCCAAAAGATGTACCATTAAATAGAAATGTTTGTGTGTGTATGTTCTTGCTAGATATACTGACAGATAATAACCACGTATAGCAACCAAAGTTACATCTTGAAGCTGAAGTGTTTCCAAAGATCGCACAAGAGTAATAGTTTCATAAATTATGTGTACAAAATCTGTCCAAAGGTTGGGATGGGGATTGTTCATAAACTTGTAACTAGTTTGCTTTAAGTTTAACATATGATTACCAGGTATCAGAAGAAAACAATATTGTCTTGTCCACCAATCAGCTTGCAGGTTATCTTCCACTTGAATCTTTGAGAAGGCTGAATCCCTGAATGAGTAAGCTTTTAAAGCATCAACTTTTATAGTGTAATATTTGTTCAAAGTTTATTAAGCAGTGCTAGACCTTGATGGTACATCAATGTATATCATTTGTGAATCAATTATCTTGAGATTAAATATTTTCTTCAAGAATCCAAAATACTATTAATTTCTCTCTATTAAGATTATAAATAGGCCTACTTAAAGTAATTAAGATAATGGCTAAATTACATTATCACCATTACCCTTCTACAGTAATTACACATTACCAGAAATATTACAAAAAGGGTATAGAATATATTAATTTAAAGATACGTCTCTTCAAAGGCATAAAAATAGATAAATCATAAAGTAAAACATTTTTGTAGTCTATTATAATTAATTATTAGCACAATTTTATTCTGATTATATGTAACTGGTGCTAACTGCTTTAAAAGTATCTATCAACACTTAAAGTGTTTTCCTACTGCACCCGGTCGAAGAAATAAATATTTTGTATCTTCTATTACCCGTCACCACAAAAAGTGTAACCCATTCCTTGTGAGAATCGTCATTCTTTTCTTAGCTTACCTTCTTTCTGAAAGTAGTTGTTTTGTCAGAAAGTCCAAAAAAGGAATACAGGTAGTCCTCAATTTGCGACTGATTGCTTATGACCTCAATCCAAATTTTCAAATATCAGGCCCCATTCATAGTCACATAACCAAAGTTTGAGTGCCCAGCAACACAATGGCATTGTGGCCATTTTCAGCATCCCACATTTTATAACAGTTTTGATGGCAAAACCATTCTCACAGCAAACCTCTTGTTCATTTTATAACCACTGTAGTCACTTAACCTATACCACACAACAAAAAAGTCATAAAATCAGGTCAGTCACGATTGACCTTTTTTATAACCATCAGGACATAGAACTGCAATGGAGAGGCTCCATTATGGCCATATGTTGAGGACTACCTGTAGCTCTCTATGAAGAAAAGTTTTGTTTAGAGAATTAACTTCACAATGAAAAAAATAGAATTGTAAAGACTAGAATGGGACAACTGACACAATGAAGAATGTCAGATAAATAAAAATTTAGAAAAATTAAAAATGTGATTACCGTCATAAAAAGATATGCATATAACTTTAATATCCGAACAAGTCTGTTGTGTGATGGGATGAGCTCCCATCATTTGCTCTAGCTCCTGCCCACTAGCAGTTTGAAAGTAAGCTAACTTGAGAAGATAAATATGTACCATTTCAATGGGCATATTAATGTAGACATGGAAGGAAGTCCAATCGGACACACACACACACGGGCACTGGTGATGATGTCACTGGTTAATCCTTTGAAACTGTGTGATGTGATCACCTTTATTACCTGGTTCATTCCACCTTGGTGGGAGTTGGAAGGAATTATATACTTCATGTGTGATTTTGAATCTTCTGCAATATCTAAAGTGTATGATGAATTAATAATCTCTGACAAGTTTTCTGTTTTCATGAAATGTTGTTAAGGGCAGGGATAAATTCAAAGGGGATGGTGAGACAGAGGTGAGTCCATTGAACCCAGTCTCATTCTACTTATATGAAAAGAGAATACAGTATATACAAAAATCTACAGCTACACAAAAGCTTAAACTCAAACAGTTATTTTAACAAGGGAATTTCAAATTCCATCACGACATATTTAATAAATCATACATTTGAAATAAACCCAGACTAAAAGTAAAAAAAAACCAAGTGGTTCTATATCCTTAAAGTGTCTAAGATCTTTTTTTTAAAGCATTTCAAATTAGCAGATATTTGTCAACTGAGAAATGGCTGGGCACAATTTAAAATGAACAATTCAAAATTAGGAATGATATTTTTAAAGAGTCTAGCATACATCAAACTAACTATATTTCTATATGCAAAGAAAATGTGATGTTCTGCTGTTTTTTAAAAAAATCTTCCACGGGAAAGAAATTTCACAAGCATGAGAAGCAGATTGCCTGTTTAGAATTCTCTGAGTAAAGGAGAAAAAAAAGTAAAAATAATATTCATACCTCTCTCCGTCGAGAAGCCCAACAGGTTTGCTTGATTTTCCAGACCACAGCAGCAACCAGTAGCAGTGACAAGAAACAACTGCAATTGTAACACATCAAAAAATAATTTAGAGTTGAGAATGTTTTACACAACATGTAAATTTGACTTCATAGTTTGGAAAAGATAATTTTAAGAACACCAAACAAAAATAATAAACATATGCCAGCTACTCAGTATTACATAATCAGAATTTCCTGAAGTATTGTGATGAATGAAAACAACTGTTATTTGCATTTGTTTATTGGAAGGCTTTCTGCTAATCATTTTACTTACTATGCCAGAAGTAAAACAAATAAAAATCTAAGTAAAATTGCAATAAAATTAAAACAGCAGACTATAATATTCAGTGTGTCTAAATTGTATTATTCTCCTAATAATTCTTTTTTTAAAATCCACAATGTGATAGATTAAAAATAGGTGAAGAACACTAAAATTATAATAACGTGAATGCCAAATAAGTTTCTTTAGGAATAATTTCACAATTATCTGATTGGATGGGGGGTGGGGAAATTCAAATATGTCAATGGGGAACTTAGCATACTACCTTCTATGAAAAACTCTGAATTTCAGACTAGTATTGCTATACCTAGTGGTGTAAAAAAGAATACAACAACTTAAGCAACAACCGGGAGCAGACATTCATCATTTAGAGTGTTATCTCTTTCAGAAAAGTCTATAGGTCCTATATAAAATTAGCTAGATAGCTAAACTATCTCCACTCCAATTATCCACCAACTTCCAATGGTTATCTAACAAGTCAAGCTTTTCTAGGCAGAGCAGGAAGAAGGTTTTGCTTAGTTCTAATGTACACGACAGTTTAACAACTCATGAATTAGACCAGAGTTGTTAAACTGTTCTGTACATTAGAGCTGAACAAAAAATTTTATGCTCTGTCTATAAAAGCTTGACTTCTTTAGGCACAATAGGAAAGAATGCCCAGAGTCCATTTATCTGGGATCAATATTTGTATCCATGGAGCCCTGACAAATTCACACGCTAGGCTGTACAGACTGTCTAGTCAGGGGAAATTTGAGATTATATCTTTTAGCTTTATATCTATTTCTACGAACACACCTTTAGTATAGGAAGAAAACAACTAATTAAAATCAGCAATGAAAATGTCAACAAAAACCAAACAGAACTTGCTTCAAGTAGCACACATATCTACAGCCCTCAAAAAATAGGTTCACAATTTTCTGCTTCAATGTCATGCTTGCACAAAGCCAGTAGTTGCCTGAGACTTAAGCATGTAATGCTATTGATTTTTTATACATATTTTGATTTATGGATTATTCCCTATTTTTAAATGTATGCTCATGTAGATGAAACACTGAGAACAAATCTATATTATATCAGCCCAATTCTAACACAAGTCTGGCTAGTAAATTTAGGATTCCAACTAATACCTGTTAATTAGGTAAGGGATACTGTTATTTAATATTGTTTTAATTAACTATATACCCCATTAGCAATATTAAAACAAAGAGGAAATGGAAAGAAAAAACCCAATAATCTCTAACTCATACTTTCACTATCATCCACACTCAAGGGGATACCCATCAAGCTATTTCTCTTTATATTGTCAGTTCTCTGAGTAATGCAGCCAGGAGCAAATTTTCTAACCTTTTATTATCAAGAAGTATTATCCAGCTCAAAGGGAATTCTTTATATTGAATTTTTCTTCTATATTTGTCCCTTACATTCCCAAACTACTGTATTCCTTAAGGGTTTTAATTTAAACTTAATTAAATTGTATTATTTAGGGCAGATTTCCAAGTTTATGATATCAAGATGTTGTGAATGGTGAGCCCTACTATATAGGTTAGAGTTATGGTGCTGCAACTTTCAAAACCCGTATTCCTGGAATAGTATCATTTTAAATAATAGGCTAAAAGTAGAGTATCACATCCCCATATCCCCTTATTCAAAATGTCGACTATAGAATCTTTCAGTCATTACGTTTTAACTAAAAATTGCATATGTGGCTTAAGGTTTTTTGTTTTTTTCATTTTTTTCCCTATACTGTATTAATTAAGGAGGAAAAAGTGCAATTCTGAAACCTTGTTATATAAATGTGGCTTGGTCAAAACCTATACTAGAAAAATGAGATTTCACATTAAGGATCTTTTCATTACTCCATAAATTGTTTATCCAATATGCTTGACAAATTCAAATTAATATTACTTTCTAAATAATTTATTCTCTTCTCATCTTAGCATCCAATATATCTACGATGTAACACGCTGTATAAATTTAATTTATTTAACTATTAAAAACATGAATTAGTCATATCAAATCTGTATTAAAATAATTCTGGTTTAAATAATAAGTATCAGTGTGCTCCCAAGAGTGATAATTTTATAATTTTATTTCCATTGAATAAATCTGAAATAAATAACTGGTTGAACTAACATTAGAAAAAGTATAATTTCTCAGAACTTCTGCTGAGATCAGTAAAAAAGGTCATGCAATATGGTGACTTCTAAAACAGTGGTATAAAACTCACGTCGTCACATCGTCACATGATGTATCATGACTTTTCCTCCCTTTGCTAAACCAGGGTGGGCATGGCCAGTGCGTGACACATCTGGCCCGCAGGCTGCAAGTTTGACACTCCTGCTCTAAAACATGATAACAGTAATTTGTATGGTTTCTCTTCCACTCCATTAATAAATCTAATGGTTTCAAATTTTAATAATTAAATGTTTGGTGTATTAAGGCATCAGGCTAGAAACCAGAAGATCGTGGATTTTACTCCCACTTTCACTATGAAGCCAGTTGGCAGACCTTGGACCAGACACTTTCTCTCAGCCCTAGGAAGGAGACAATGGCAAACCACTTCTGAAGAACTTGAACAGGAACTTGTCTCCAAGACTAGGACATAACTGAATAGAAGGTGTGTGTGTGTGTCATATAAATCAGACCCTTGCAATTTTGTACAATTAAATCAGTTCATCATACTGAGGTATGGGAATTACAGCAAAATATTATACCAAAAGAATGAGCTTGCTTGCTTTTGTATAACTTTTGAAATTTGGATTTCATTTTGATGAACGCTATCAAAATTTAAAATTAAACATTTATCAAAATCAAGAGAAAAAAAGAAAGGGTTCTTCTCATACAAGAACATGTCTCAAATCAGCTGCTCTTAAACACCTCTTAAGTTGCTGCAACTTGCAAAACAACAGCAGGCTATGAACCAATGGTGGGTTACAAATCCCGTTCCAACCGGTACAATTGGAACGGGGCCGGTGTCATCCTCATGGACGCGCACAGCGCACCCGCACACATGTGCTGCACGTGCATGCATTCTAGCATCTCCACAGCAGCTCCAGCTGCTCTACGGAGCGTCATGTAGGCATTGTACACGCCATGCGCCTGCGTGGAAGGGCAGAAGACTTTAAACACTGGTAAGGAGTGCAGGCGGGCAGGTGGGCCGTCTGGAGCACCATACTGGAACAGTATCCGGTGCTCCGGGCTGGCTCCAGTACGCCTGTACCAGGGCGTACTGCCTGCAACCCACCACTGCTATGAACCATCTGAGACTCTTTTCTGGGACAACTGCACTGAGAACACAACACAACACAACACAAGCTTTCCTTCTATCCTTGGTATCTGCAATTTCTTCTTCCCTGTAAACGTCTCCCTTTTTCTTTCATCGTAATTTCCTGTGCAGAGTGAGAATGAGATCATAGACACCTCACCTTATGTTTACTTGGAAAACCAAACATAATTTGTATATAAGCAAAAGAAACACAGAGGCTTCCTATATGATCATGGAACCATTGAACTCTTTTCCATTTGTATACATTGACTTTAACTGGTAATCATGGTTATCCATTAGTAAGTGCAACCTGATACCTGTCTACCAGGTATGATGTGGTTTAGTAACCCATACTTTGAAAATTACTGTCTCTTCATTTAGTAAGCCTTAAACACAGCAAATATATTAGCATTTGGTAAATGAGCATATTATGAATTTTTGTTCTTTTTAATATCTGTAACAGGGATGCAAATGTGTAGCTCAAAGGTCACATACATTTTAATGATATTTTTTCATGACCTTTTTGAGAAATCCATTGCATCCTTTAAAAATCCAATCTATTTTTTAAAGTCGCATTCCTCCAAAAGGGTTTTAGACTTATCGTTTTTGGACTACAGCTCAATGTAGTTTCCATATAATTTTCAATAGCTTTCACTGACTCTTTTTGAAATAAATAAAGAACAGTTTGACTTCCTGATCAGGTGTGATGCTNGGACCCGGATTGTTGTTGGGGGCAATATGCTGACTCTGTAAACCGCTTAGAGAGGGCTGAAAACCCTATGAAGCGGTATATAAGTCTAACTGCTAACTGCTATCTATCATTCATGCCCAATGCAAAGACATTTTAAAAACTTTCTGACTGGCAGAGGAGAAAGGTTTTGAAGGGTAGACGCTGCCATAGAGTTAATATATCTTCTAGTCCAACCAGATGACATTTCTTTAGAAAGAAAACTCCAGCATGCTACCTTGTTAAAATATGTGGCTGGAAGAGTAACTGTAGACAGGTGATGCAATGTAGGAAATATACCTGGAAGCCTAGTCATACCACTGCATTCTTAACCAATCACAGCTTCCATGTTCAAGGGTAACCTCTCTCATGTATTTTAATAGTTGAACCAGATGTGTCTAAATCATAAGTGACTACAAGAACAGCTCTCAATTCAGGAATAAATGTAACTGGCACATAAGCTAGAATAATGCCAAGCCCTTTCTGGCCAATACTTCTCTAGCAGGAGTTGAGCATTCATGATGATTCCCAAACTGCTCTAGCAAATTCTACCCTCACCAAATTCTGAATATGAGAGTGCCATCTGTTCCAGAAGCAGAGGATCTCTCAATTCCTGGATATGAAGGTCCCAAATGCCCAGCACTTATCCATTTATATATCCATTCAAATATCTACTTAATTAGGATTGAGTCAAAGTCTGTTCTTATTCATGTTTGCCCCCATAACCGACAAAGATGGAGCAGAATATTCCTTTTTACACCCAGCTGG